ATCATGGATTTTTCTGCATTATTTTTAAAAATGTTTCATCAGCCAGGCTAAGTGGCTCACACCTGCAATCCCAGTACTTTGGGAGGACTAAGCAGGAGGATCACTTGAGGCCAGTAGGTCAAGACCAAGCCTGCGTCTCTACAAAAAATTTTAAAAATTAGGCAGGCATGGTAGCACATACCTGTATTCCCACCTACCGGGAGGCTGAGGCCAGAGGATTGCTTCAGCCCAGGAGTTGGAGCTATGACCATGCCACTGCATTCCAGCTTGGAGGTCAGAGCTGAGCTCCATTTCTTTAAAGAAAAAAAAAAGTGCTACATTAATGTTAATCTTGAGGGGTCTTTTTTTGAGCGTCCTTAAATTGTGTCCAACGTGAATGCTTCACTCATCTTACCTTATGCCCAGTAGTGTTACTAAAAAAACGAACAGAGGGTTAAGCATGTTTGAAGTTACAAAGGCAAATTAGGCAGAGTTTAGTAAAGAAAGGGATGTTGCAGTGCACTGTATCCTAACAATCACGGCACGAAGTCAAAGGGTAACTAAACGAACAAAACCAGAAATAGCAAATTAAGTATTTTATTTAGCTATTTCTCAGGAATTAGAATCGAATACAAAACTGGTGAAAACTGGCTGCCTCCGAGGATGGGGAATTATTGCTTTTCATTATAAATCCTCCCACATTAGGTTTTAAAATAATGTACGCCCTTCCCACTTTGATGGCGACGATAATAATAGAGAAAACAAAAAGAGTCTGGCCTCCAAGACTTCTAAGGAACTGCCAGGATCGGCGGAAAGAAAAAAAGTCTGGTTTCCATGACAGAGAGATCTCAGAGAAGCACTGCCAGCTCGGTTTCATTCAAAGTCTACGCCCTCCCTACAAACACAGGGAAACGCCTGCAATCCCACACCCAGGCCCCAGCAACACACGCCTCTGGCAGCGGACGCCATTACCTTAACAAAAGGTAACTGGAGCCACTTCCCAATGCGACTTTGGTCCCAGTCCCTTTTTTCCCCTAGTCTGGAAAATCTGGGAAAATCCTAACGACCTCCACTAGAAACTCTGCAAGGCGCACTGCCCTCTCAACCCGCTCCAGGGCCCGTGAGTCTCCCTCCCCCCTCTCATTTCCGGGGAGGCCTTTGCGCACCGACCCAGAAGCGTTGAGAAGGGCGAATCCCAACCCGCAGGCGCAGCCCCTCCTCAGCCTCGTTGTCCTGCCCCTCCCCAATACCCCCGCCAACCTGTTCTGTGCGTCGCCTGTGCCTCAGGTTCCCTTTTTCCACCCGCGTGATCACGTGATGGGAGAGGGGCGGGATAGCAAAATCGCCTCACTCCTCCCGGCTTCCCGCGGGGCAATTTCTTAACCCTTCACGGTTCCCTTCCCTGAGGGGCCGCTCGGGGGCTTCCAGTGGCCGGAAGCAGGGGATTATTGGGTCCCGCGGCCGGCCGCGGTCGGTCACGTGCCGAGCGGCCGCGGTCACGGAGAGGCGGGCTGGGGCGGACCCGGGCGGTCAGTGGCGGGCGGGGGCGGGGACTCGCTCCTCCTAGGGCTGTTCTTAGGTCAGGACTGTGTTGGAGGTGCGGACACTGGTTGTCGTCGCTGCCGCCTCCGTCGCTGTCTTCGTCGCTGCCGCTGGCGGTCACCATGAACCCAGACCTGCGCAGGGAGCGGGACTCCGCCAGCTTCAATCCGGAGCTGCTTACACACGTCTTGGATGGCAGCCCCGAGAACACCCGGCGCCGCCGGGAAATCGGTGAGGGTGGCGGACGAGGCCTCCTTCCCCCAGCAAGGCTTGAGACTCCGTCAGTGAGTCGGGGGGCGCTGTGGGGCTTACGCCGCAGACACTCTGGCTCAGCCTTAAACAAGCCGGGACCCTCATTTCGAGGGGGCAGCCTGTGGGCTGGGAAGGGAGAATATAGCCCTTTTGCGAGATGTGTCCGCGACTCTGAAACTCGCTGTGATTCAGGGAGGGTGTAACGAAGACCTGAATGTCTGCCTTCCTCTTGATGTCCTTTAACTCCCTTCCAGAGAACCTGATTCTGAACGACCCAGACTTCCAGCATGAGGACTTGAACTTCCTGTCTCGCAGCCAGCGTTACGAGGTGGCAGTTCAGAAGAGTGCCAACATGGTGAAGAAGATGAGGGAGTTTGGCATCGCAGACCCTGGTGAAATCATGTGGTTTAAAAAGTAGGTATGCCTAAGCCGAACAACTGCTGTAAGCCCAAACTTTAAAGCTGCGGGCTGTGATGTCCTTTTGTCTTCGTGCTTGGCGTTTGAAGACTTAAAACTGGTATATTTTCATGGCACTTTAAGATTATGTGTGTGGAAAATAATGTGATTACTTTTGTATCCAAGCCTTTTAATGGTATGACATATTTGTAGAATGATGGTAGTCAATGGAGGTGCTGGAGTTTTCATTCTCAAGAATTCAGTCTCAAGGATGTTATAAAAACATTTTTTTCTGTCCTGTGCATCTCAGTTTTGAGTGATTTATATACAAAATGACTTTGCTCTTTATAAGGAGACCTGCTAAATTTCTGAATTTGGAAGGATTTTTTTTCCGTTGCAAGACCAAACATTTAAATACATTGGAGGACTAGCGGATTATATCATATGATAGGGTGGATCTCAAGTTTAAAATAATG